AGAACATTGTATTGTGCCACGCCCAACAGAAATAACCCAGGTGGGCGACTTTAAAATCAGGATCTCCTCCGTAGCTAATAGCAATTCCCACCTTAGAGTTTACAAAGACTTATGGGTAGAAAAGCCACACTAAGTAATTTACTACACCGCAATCAGTAAGTCCTTGAAGTCCTCTTTACTTCCAGCAAGCAAGATTGTGTCATCTGTATATTGTAGGATGTTAAGTAATCTTTCCAATCTTGATGCTGCATTCTTCTTCATATAGTCAAGCTGCTTGGATTATTTACTCAGCATACAGATTAAATAAATATGATGAAAGGATACAATCCTGATGCACTTCTTTTCTGATTTTAAACCAGGCAGTGTCCCTTTGTTCTGTTCAAACTACTGCCTCTTGGTCTATGCATCTCTTGGTCTGACTACATAAGCACAATTAAGTGTTATGAAATTCCCATTCTTCATGATGTTACCCATAATTTGTTATGATACACACAGTTGAATGCCTTTGCATAGTTAGTAAGACACAGGTAAACATCTTTCTGGTATTCTCTGCTTTCAGCTAAGTCCATCTGACATTAGTAGTGATAACCCTCAGTCCACATCTTCTTCAGAATCTGGCTCAAATTTCTAACAGTTCACTGTCTGTGTATTGCTGCATCCATTTTTGAATGATCTTCAACAGAAATTTTATTTGAATATGACTTTAATGATATTGTTCAATAACTTTTGTATTTCATTAGGACATTTTTCTTTGAAATGAGCCCAAATATGGATCTCTTCCAGTTGGATAGCCAGGTATCTGTTTCCCAAATTTTTGGCATAGATGAGTGAACACTTACAGTATTGGATCCACTTGTTGAATTATTTTAATTGATATTCTGTCAATTCCTGGAATCTTGCTTTTGCCAGTGCGTTCATGCAGCTTGGATTTCTTCCTTCAGTACCATCGGTTCTCTATCATATGCTACCTCCTGAAATGGAGCATTGACCAAGTCTTTCTGGTTCAGTGATTCTGTGTATTCCTTGCATCTTCTTTTGATGCTTCCTACATTGTTCAATATTTTGCCCATACAATCCTGCGGTATTGCAACTTGAGGCTTGAATATTTTCTTCAGTTCTTCCAGCTTGAGAAACGATGAGTGTGTTTTTCCCTTTTGGATTTCTAACTACAGGTTTTTGCATGTTTCATTATGATACTTTACTTTGTCTTCTCAAGTTGTCCTTTGGAATCTTCTGTTTATCTCTTTTACTCCATCTGTTTTTCCATTCACTTTAGCCACTTAACATTCAAGAGCAAATTTCATAGTCTCTTCTGACATCCATTTTGGTCTTTTCTCTCTTCATTGTCTTTTTAATTACCTTTTGCTTTCTTCATGCATAATGTCCTTGATGTCATCCTACAACTCTTCTGGTCTTCAGTGCTCAGTTTGTCAAATCTATTCTTTTTTTATATCACTATTTTCCTTTCAGGGATATATGTTGTTGTTGTTATGTGCCATTGAGTCGGACCCGACTCATAACAACCCCTCCTTGGGTTTCTGAGGCAGTATCACTTACAGAAGTAGATTGCCCAACCTTCTTTCCGAGGAGTGGCTGGTGGATTTGAACCGCTAGCCTTCTGGTTAGCAGTCAAGTGCTTTAAGCACTATGCTTCCAGAGCTCCCTCAGGGATATATA